GGGGTAGCAGGTGGCGATCTCCCTGAACCTGACATGGAGGACATGGAGATTGATTGGTTGACGGATCATTATCTTCAGAAGTTAGGTGAAGGACCTGACTGCCGCGCTGTGAGCAATCAAGCGGCGTCTTCCTTTGAGCTTAAGTTTGGAGGGAGTAGAATCTGTTGTCAGGTCCCCCAACAAGCTGTGTCAGAGACCTCTGGTGAGCTGTTAGATCCCAAACTCCTCTATCTGTCCATGAAATTAGAACTAGAAGAATTGGAGTCGTTCAACGTTGGAGAAGTGGTGAGCGAGCGAGAAGCGTATCGACTTGCTAAGGAGAGCGGAAGAAGAGTTCTTTCGAGCCGTTGGGTCAATACGGTTAAGAAGCCTGGTCTTTACCGCTCTAGACTTGTTGTCCGCGATTTTGCCGCTATGGGCGGCGCCACGCTCGCTGAGGGGATCTATTCTCCTACCACCAGCCTGGAAGGGCTGAGGCTCCTACTTTCCGTTCTGTGTAGAAAAGGGTCTGTGCTGTCCTGTGATGTTTCGGTAGCTTTCATGCACGCCGCTATTGCGCGGCCGGAGTTTGTGCAGCTTCCGAGTAACATAGGAAACGCAAAGACTGGCGAAAGGGTCTTCTTGAAACTGTTTCGTGCCATGAACGGGCTTCGAAGTGCCCCGCTTTCTTGGTACAAGGAGCTGTCGGCGTACTTGGGAAACCAAGGATTCCAGCAGATCTTGGACCCTACAATCTTCCGCAAGAAAACCAAGAATGGTTTGGTGATTGTCCTCTTTTATGTTGACGATCTGTTAATTTGGGCCGAGAACACCGCCGAAGCTCGAAAGGTGTATGAAGACCTGAAGAAACGCTACAAGCTTAAGCTAACAGGTGAGCTCTTGGAAGGAAAACCAGGTGAGGTGTCTTTCTTGGGACGTAGGATCTTCCGGAAAAAGCCCGGAGAGCCCTGCGTATACTTTGGCTTGGACGCCAAGTACTTGAGGTCTTGCTGTGAGGAGTACGGAATCACTAAGGTGGCGCCGAAGCTTCCACCATTAGAGCGGCGGTATGCTGACCTCATCAAGAAAGGACAGGACACACCTCTTACGCCAGAGGCGCACGAGCGCTATAGGCGTACCTTGGGACGCCTAGCCTGGGCGTCGCTTTCAAGACCTGATTTGCAGTATGTATGCGGCTTTCTAGGACGCCACCAGTCAGCCCCAAATGAAGCAGCCGAAGCTTGCATGAGGGATGTTCTGAGGTGGGTGTCTGGTTTGCCGCATAAGGTCCAAGTGTTCCCCTCACGTAGAGAGCTTTTAGCCCCTGATGAGGACCGAGAGTCAGTGTCTTGTTTTGTGGACGCGTCTTGGGGTTTGAACTCTGTGAGTGGTGGAATTGTGACCTGGAACAACTGTTGCTTGAAGACGTTCAGTCGGAAACAGACGACCGTAGCTCTGTCATCGGCAGAAGCCGAGCTAGCAGCGCTGACTGAAATCGCAAGAGAGGGATTGTATATATCTCTGTTGGTGCAGACGATGGTGGAGGGGATGCCTTCTGACTCGGAGGAAGGCCGGTATCAGTTGCACGCGTACGGGGACTCTGAAAGCGCCCTGTCGATAGCGCAAATGAGTACCCTCCTTAGGAAAGTCCGCCACATAGAGTTGCGAGCGGCTTTTCTCCAACAACTAGTCGCCAAGGAAAGATTGACGCTGGAGTATATACCGGGGAAACTCAACCCCGCAGATGCTCTAACGAAATCCCCAACTGCGGAGAATTTGGTCAGTCTTTGTGAGGCAGCTGGCCTCATTAACGAGCCAGAATCGTGGTCGTCGATCTCCGAAGAAAACGTCGAAGAAGTAAGAAATGAGCCCAATATCACTGAGGAAGTATCTTCGAACGCAGTAAGGTCCTCTCCGCTGGAGGTTCCGAGCTCTTGGATGGAAGCCGCGACGGCAGTGGCTAGAGGGACAGTGTCGCTCGTCGTTCTGGAGCTTTGCTGCGAAGAGTCGAGTGCTATAGCAAGAGCGTGTGCTCGAGAGAAAGGCATAGCGTACTTCGGAGTGACTCAGGAAATCAATCTTCTGAGTAAGAACACCTTTCTTGTTCTTGAAGAGATCTTAAGAGTCCTGAAGCAGGGAAAGGTCCGTGTCTTTGCGCATTTGTCTACGCTTTGCAGCTCAGGCTGCCCCTTGAGGTACCTGCGTTTCCGCAAGCGACGAGGTTTGGAACTTTGGCGGAAGACGCTAAAGATTCACAAGAGTTGCTGGAGACTTATAGGGAAGCTCTTCGGCCCCTATGCCTCTAACGAGGGTTTGCTGTTAACCCACGAATGGCCTGAAAGGTCCTCTTTGTGGAAGGAAACGGTATTTCTAGAAGTCTCTAAAAGCATTGGTCTAACGCAAGGATGTCTAGTAGATAGATGCTGCTTCGAGAAGAAAGAGAAGACTTGGAAGAGATGGTGGTTCGCTTCTAATAGTGCTGCCTGTGTGTGGGAACTGTCTTCGTACGTTTGCGCAGGAAACCACGAACACTCGAAGAGTGCGTCTCTGAAGGAGTCTGGGACCTACCCGGAAGAGCTTGGAAAGGCTCTTGTCAGGATTGGAAAGAAGATCCTGAAGCAGGAGGAAAGAAAGGACTGAAGGGAACTACCCAAGGACCATCTGTGCATGAGGGGGTGTGTAAAATTCACCTGTTGGCTCAAGTTTTACTGCTCAAGGCATTTTGCCTGTGTTGTGGTAGGGAGCTTTCTGTGAAACTGAGGCTTTTGTCCTGAACTCTGTGGGGTAACAGGCCTTTCCTCAAATCCCAGGTTGAGCCTCTCGAGCCATAGCATCTGAGCAGCAGAGGGGATTCGGCAAATCCACACACTTGTGGTGAGGCTTGGGTGTCCCAGCCTAACCCAGTGACTCGTGGTGTGGTGTTGTTCTTGAGTCAATTGCAGTCATGCCACGCTCTCGAAGTTACACTGTCTGTCAGTTCTGCAATGACTCCTGGATTTACAACCACAAAATCAAGCACCGCCCGTTTTGCAGATGTGGGCAGCCATGGCCCTTGCAGCAAGTGAGCTACAGCCAGGACTCGTCTCCTGGGCAGCCCCAATGGTCCCCCAATCGGACTGTTTTTGCAAAGCCAACCAAGCCTGGGAAAACCCAGCCCCACAAGGGTTTTAAGGGTGCCCAGGTCCTTGGTGAGCATTGGGACTCCTTGCCTGATGCAGTACAGAGTGTGCTCCGAAAGAATGGGTTGGCCCCATCGCAGCCCGCTGAACAAGAAGATCCGCTGATCAAACTGTTGCAGCAGCACAAGGATGCTTTGCCGGACCAGATCAAGGCAGAGCTTGACAAGAGGGACCCTGAGCCTTTTGAAGTTGCCCTTGCTACCCAAGATGCTTTCAAGACTGCAGTGGGAAAGCTGAGGGAATTGGGCAACAGGAAGCTGCTTTTGCAGCAACGCATTGACAATGCAAAGGCCGCATTCACGGCATTGCTTTCGCAGATGCAAAACTTGCAGGCGGAAATCAAGGAAGCTGAGCAGAAAGTTGAAAAAGTTGGGGGAGACTACCACGAGAAAGTCCTCAAGACTGACGACGAAGCCGACCCTATGGATGTGGAAGCTGTGTTGGGTCAGCTTGGTGTCCAGCTGACCCAGGAGCAGCAGGCTACTTGGAAAGCCATTCAAGCCGAGCATGCATCCAAGCGCCGCAAAGCCGAGGCTATGGAATCTCCGCCAGGCCTTGGGCTAGGAGATATGCTGGGTGCTGGGGCTCCAACCAAGCCGCTGGTCTCCCCACAAAAGCTTGGCCCCGCTGAAAATCCCCATCAAAAGCATGAGAGAAGCCGTTCCCCCAAGGAGAGGGAAGGAAAGGATGGAGAATCTGAAAAGTAGGAAAGGGGCCGAACTGAGGAGGCTGGGATTGCTGCAGGCCCGCCACCTCGGTGTTATGGCCACACACCTGCGCAACTTGACTCTCCGACTGCGCCTGGGCTTTTGGGTGGCTCCTTTTCCCTTTGTTCGTTTCTTGCTTCCCAAGCCAACTGGTGCTCAGTTTTGATTTCGCAAGGTCAGGTGCTGTTTGACAAGTGGGTGCTGCAAGTGAGCGAGGATTTGCTTCCCGTTGACTTGAAGTCTTCTCACGATCTTTTAAACTGGTGTGAGGCAGTTTGTACCTTCCTTGCTCAGGACGAATGTGCATCTGACCTACTTAGGGTCCCTGGTGGCCCTCCTTTTGTGACAGGCCATCTTCGTGATGGTACGATTGGGAGTGCACTCGCTGCCGTTTTCCATGCAATGCCACTTCCGACCTTTACCGCTGAAACACCTATCCTAGAAGAACCGGCTTGGGTGTTACCCGTCCGGACTGTTAAATGGTCTCCTGCAAGCAGGGCTGTGCCCTTGAAGACCACGGGCCCTTTGTTCTTTTCCCAATCCCTGTTTGATGATGGAGATACTGTTGTGTCCTCGCTGGACATTGTGGAGCCTTCGGTCAGGCCTAGAAGGCCGAAGACTGGCACCCCGACATCTCATCCCCGGCTGACCCGTCAGAAGAAAAGCAAGGAATGGATGGCTCTCCTTGATATTCTTGAGGCTAAACCAGTGATGGATATGCCGGCTAAGGAGGCTGAACTGCTCCAATGGATTGAGGACTTTGGGGAGCAGTACGAACAAGGATCTTTGGAGTGCTGGACCTTGAATAGGATATGCCAACTTCTGGAGCGGTCTAAAGATGACACCCTTGGAGTGATCGAGGCGATTGAGGCTGTTCTGGCTGGTTTCCGCAAACAGAATCCTGGTCCCAAGTCCCTCCTCATAGGTCAAGCCAACATAACTTCGTACCGAAGCGAAGTGCGTACTTGGTTGCTGGACCGTGACGAATCCATCTGGCTGTTGCAAGAAACCCATGTCCCTGAATCAGGTACTAAAGCCCTGGTCAACAAATTCCAATCTGTTGGCAGACAAACATGGGTAGGGCCGGCCGCTCTGACCCAGGGAGGAAGCTCAGGAGGACTTCTCACTCTTGCACCCTCGCATCGCAATGCTGCCACAGGCCCGGCCTTTATGTCTGAAGGCAAGGGGTTTGTTTCTGTTTCGATTCGATTTCAGGGCTGGGATCTCTTGTTAGTTAACTTGTATCTCCAGTCAGGAGTGGGCCCGACTGGTGGACTCAACCCGGAGATCCTTTCTCGTCTGGCAGCGGTCCTTGACCAAACCAGCACCCAGTGGCTGGTGCTTGGTGACTGGAATTGTTCCCCGTCCGAATTGCTCCGCCTAGGGTTTGTTTATAAAGTGAAGGGCCAGGTTGTCGCCCCTAATGGTCCTACCATTAACACTGGAGGCACCTTGGATTATGCTGTTGCCTCCAAGAGGATGGCCCCATTGCTCTCCGTCTCGTCCTCTTGGGAAGTCCCATTCAAACCGCATTGCGCTGTGACGGTGGAGCTCAGGGTTGGGGTTGCAGATCTGCCTGTTCGTCAGCTCAAGGGCTTCCCGTTGGAACCCACTGCCCTCTGCCCGGACGAATTGTCCATGCCGGAAGTCCAACCTGGTGGCCTTTGGGATTGGTCCCGACCGATTGATTATGAATGGGCTTCTTTCACTGCTGGGGTGGAAGAACAACTCTTCTCTGTGCAGGCAGGTAGAGGGTGGAAGCTGGAGGTCTCTTTCTCGCCACTCGTGAAGACCACCAGCCCGGAAAAACTCTGGAAAGGGTCGAGCCCGGCTTTTTGGCAATCCTTCCTCACCTGGACCTCTAAAGCCCTGGGCACTAATCCTGACCCTAGAATCACCCCCCTCTTCGTGGAGGCGAAGAATCGCATACCTGAATTCTGGTCTGAAATGGCCTCTTGTACTGCTCAGGCCTTGCAGGACCTCCTAGGTGCTCCTGACATGCAAAGCCATCACCTTGCACTTGAGATTATCGCACACCAGGGGCGATCAGCCTTGAAAGAGGCGGTGCGCAAGAGTGATGAAGCTTACTCGCAATGGTTGCAGGAAGCTTGCAAAGGGGGTATGCGAGGCCTGTACAAGGCTTTGAAGTCTGAAGATTCCATCCCGGACAGGCCATACAGAAACATACCACTCGAAATTCGCCCGCACATCAGGCGGGCTCACTGGGCTGACGTGTGGCAGCCCATGCCTGGCAATGAGGTCAATCCCAATGTTGATTTTGATTGCCTCAGGGATGCTTCTGTAAGCCAAGCCAAAACCCTTCCTCCCATAACAGGTCCAATGGTGGCGAAGGTGATCAAACGAATGCCGACTAAAGCTATTGGTGCAGATGGGTGGAGTGTCCAGATGCTTAAATGTCTTGCCCCCTTGCAGCTTGAAAGATTGGCCCAATTCTTTAATACCTGGGAGGGTCAGGGTGCCTTCCCGACCCAGCTCTCGGTCGTTCTGGTTGCACTCATTAACAAGTCTGAGGATGAGGAGCGCCCAATTGGACTGACGCCAGTCCCATACCGATTGTGGGCAAAGATACGTTGGCCTGTCTTTGAGAAATGGCTCCGGGAATATGCTGCCACCCAGGATTGGGACAGGGCAAAGAAGGGCCTTTCAAGTCTTGATGTTGCGTTGCGCCGTAAGCTGTCGCATGAAATTCTCCATCGGAAAAAGCGACATTCAGTGACAGTGCTTTTGGATTTAAAGGCCTTTTATGAAAATGTCCGACATGATAATTTCGTCAAGCAGGCCATTTCCCTCAAAGTTCCGCCGTTGATCCTGCATGCAGCAATGTCGCTATACTCTGCTCAGCGCTTGATCAGTGCTGAACACTGTGTCTCTGGTCCGATCAAGCCCACCAAGGGCTTAGTTGCGGGCTGCCCATTTGCGCCTGGCCTCAGCAAGATCCCTTTTGACGAGATCCTGCGCCCGGCATGGGTTTCTGGCCTTGCCAAAACCATTGATCTTTACATTGACGACACTAGCTTTGACACTGAGGCTGGTAACCCCCACACAGCAGCGCGCCGGGCGGTGCAATTGTATAAGGCTGTGGTAGGAGGTTTGACAGCTGCTGGCCTCCCAGTCAGCCTGGGCAAGACAGCTTTTGTATGCTCGTCTCCAAAAGTTGAAGCTGCCCTTAAAGAGTATCTTCCTGAATCTGATCAAATCAAGAATGCCGCGAAGGACCTGGGGATTGATTGTACGGCTGGGCGTGGAAGGCGCATTCCGTTCCACCGTAAAAGGTTTGGGAAGGGCGTTAAGCGCAAGGCTAGGCTCTCGACCCTGCGTGTGAAATCGATGCCAGCTAGGGTCAGAGCCCTGAGGGCGGGGGTCCAAACTGTGGGCCTCTATGGCCATGAGGCAGTTGGGCTTGCGCCAAAGCGTATGCATTGGTTGCGTGCTTCCTTCGCACATGAATTGGGGCGAATGTCTTTGGGCTCGGTTGACCTCACCATTGACCATGCGTGCCCTAAGCGGCCGGACCCGGCCTTTATTATCATTTCCCAGCATTTCAAGGCCATTCACAGGCTTCTGGGCTTCATTCCCGATAGCCAAAGGCAGCACTTTGATGATGTCTTGCCGGGTATGTGGCTTGAGTACTCACAGGTGGAGTACCCCTGGAAGCGCGCTGCAGGGCCGGTTGGGGCCCTCCTGTGTTACCTGCTTGACTTGGGTTGGACCCCGGTCAGTGCGGACACTTGGAAATGCCCTGAACAACCGCACAGCGTCACCACCAAGGTAGGCATGCACCACCTCCTTTGCTCCCTTTCTAAGGAAACAGATAGGTGGAGGCTCGCACGTATAGCCCAGCACGACATGCTTGAACCTCTGAGTGTGGGAATTGATTGGGCCCCCCTCAGAAAGCTTAGGAATAAGATGGCAGGCCAGGAGAGGTCAGGACTCATGGCTGTTTGGCAAGGAGCAATTCGTGCTGATCCTTGTGCCACTTGCCTGAGGTGCGGCTGTGCTGCTACCATGCAACATGTCTTATGGGAGTGTGACTGGTGGCAAACCAACCTCCCGGAACCGGCTTCCTTTCCTAGATTCCGGCAAGAGTGGCCCATTTCGTCACTGTGGGCCAGGGGCCTGCTGCCGATTTCGCCTTACCCTGATGATGGGGAATGGGTACGAACTACTGGTGCCTGGTGTGATGGCCAGATCATTTGTGGCGAGGCGATATACTTTGCTACTGATGGCTCCCCGGGGAAATCCAAGGACCCCAGGTTCCATCGGTATACCTGGGCTGCGATTGCCTTTAAGCTTGAAGGGGATGAGCCCGTCACGATCGCGACAGCTGTCGGCTCACTGCAATCTCCGCTATCGGTGTTCCGGGCGGAGGCAGCGGCTGTCAAGTTTGTAGCTGAGCATAGTGAAGGGAACGCCGACCTCACCTTGGATTGCAAGGGCATCCTGCCCAGAGTGAATGGTACACCTTCCATCCAGTCTGCCGACCTCTTCGACCCCATTCGACTGCATGCACAGAGACTCAGCCTTAACTGGGTACCCTCGCATTTAACGGAAGAACAATTCCGAGCAAAGTTTGGTGCTAACCAACTTTGGAGGCGACGTGCTAACGAAATTGTGGACCAGCTTGTTGGCACGGCTGCCGAAGCTCGTAGGGACCTGAACTTTGAATCCCAAATTAAAAAGCGTGATGCAGTTGCCATTCAGGTTAACACCTTACTGGCCAGGAGAGCTGCAGCTCTCCTTTCGTATGACAAGGACCAAGGACCGCTGGTTCAGTGGCCTGACAAAGAGCAACGAAAGCTCCGCCAAAAGCCCAGGGTCAGGGATTCGGGTGTCCTGAAAAATTCTAAGCTCCCCAAAATCAAAGGTCCTAACAAAAGGGAACAGATTGAAGGCCTTCTTGCTGGTACACAGAACTTGGGGCACACCTGGGTAGAGGGTTGTAGGCTTCCTTCCAACCTTTCAGCGCGGTGCTCGAGGTGTGAGCTATACATCCAGCAGACTGAGCCCCTCCCTACCTTTTCCCTTAAGAGCAAGCACCCTTGCCTAGGTGTTCAGGCGGACCCTCCTCCTTGGGATCCCCACCCTGATCATGTGTGGGTTAATTTAGGTAAGTCCTGGGTTTGCTCAAAGTGTGACAAGATGGTCAAAGTTGGTGTCCGCAAAATCCCGACCTGGATTGTAGCGCCTTGCAGGCCCACCAAAAGTAAGGTTGCTACTGCTAGCTCCAAAAAAGCAAAGGAGGTGACTGACACTGGGGTTCAAAGTGTTCGGGCCTTTTTTGTGTCGTCCTCCAGTCAGGAACCTTCACCTAAAATTTCTGTTCCCAAGCCTAAGCCAAAACCCAAAGCGAAGCAGTCTGGGCTCAAGCAAGCTAAGATTGCCTTTTAGCACGCTGCCGCTAAGACTGCCTCCTGAGTATGCCTCCGAAGCATAAATCCCCTGCCTCCAAGGCCTACTCAAAAGCCCGGCCGGGCAAGCGAGAGAGAGCTCGGCTTAGAGGTGCAGCTCCTAAGAGAGCGCCGCCTGCTGGTGTGAACCCCCCGCCTCCCAGGCGGAGAAGGGTGGAACCGCAGGATGAGCAAGCCCCTGAGCCTGGGCCACAACAAGTGCAACCCCCTGAGCCCTTGGTGGATAACCAGGCTCAGGGGAGGAGGAATCCTGGAGTTGTGCTTCGGGAAAATCCTCAGCTCGAGCAGCACAATCCTGTGCACCGCCCCCCAGCCGTGGTGGCAAACCAGGCTGAGAGGGATGAACCTCCTGGAATTGTCCTTCGGGAGAATCCCCATGCACCTGGGGCTGGTCCGGTTTTGGGTGCCCCAGACCAGGACAGCTGCTCTGAAGAAAGTGAAGAGGAGCCAATGGTGCCTGATCCCATTGTGCATCCCGAGCCTCCTCCAGCACCGCCAGCTGCGCCTATGTTGCCTGCCCCGTTGAACTTTGACGATATGGATCAAGAAGCGGGCGCAGCCTTTGCTATTGCTGAGAGGGCTCGCAATACCAAGCCAGGACTGGTGGCTTTCAAATCCGATCTGGGCTATCCTGGTGTTTTCCAGGCCCTACCCAAGGACCTGATCCACGTGTGGTTCAACGACACGGGGGACAGCACTGCGGCGTATATCCACAATGGAAGAACCAGATTCGGATATGACGCTGGTGGGGGCTACGTCTTGAAGGTTGGGACGAAGCAGGCCTTTGGTGATGAGGTGGCGATTTCGGCCTTGCTGCCTAAGGTGGCAGCCACCATCATTGGGGCTGGATCTACGACACTGCAGGTGCTGCTCTCTGGGCGACCATGGGAGTTCAGGTCCCATTTGGTGGCGTGGTCGATGGTGGAAAAAATCGAGCTCCTCACGGATTATGGTTCTCGGAACCAGATCCACCCTCAGTGGTCCTTGTATGCCTTCGCCCTCCTTTTGCAATTGAGCCGTCATTTTGCTCTTCGTGATGTGTCAAAAACCAACCTGGGAATTAAGCCAGGACTCGGTGCTGCGACGCCCATGTTGTGTTTTTTCGACCTCGCGGATTGGCACTTCGAAGGGCTTAATGCTGGAAGGTGGATTCCCAAGTATAGCTTGCGCAGCTTCGTCGAGACCCTTCGATGTGTCTGTGACGTTACGCCACTGGAGCCGTATCTCCGCAGGCAGGCGGTGGTCCCTTGCCTCAACGAGATTATTGCAGGTCTCCCCGCTGCGCTCAAGGCAAACTTGGAAATCCAAATGGTCCTCATGGACGGCCGACTTTCTGATTGGGCTCACCTTGCTGCATTGGCTAACCAATAAGCTTGGGCCTTCCAAGCTTTTGGTGCTGTCAGTCAGGTCTTGGGGTCTCCAGACCATTCAAGGCGTGGGCCCAGTCTTGTTTGCTATGTGTGGTTGCAGATGCTCGGGTGTTGAACCCCGACTGTCATTGCCTGCTACCGTGAGTCGTGCTTGGGCGTTCCAAGTGCAGCTAGGCCTTGGTGTAACCAGGCCTCAGGCATGGGTGCCAGCCTGAAGTGAGGGGCGCAGCTTGTAGCTGTAGGGTAGGTGTAACCCCGACTGTCTCACTTCTGAGCTTGGACTCAATGCCTACTCCTTGCAGCTACTGCGTGAGTGGCTTTTTACTTTCTTAGGGTAGGTGTTCACCCGACTGTTTCACACAGAGCCAATGGACTCAAGGCCTCCGGCCGCTTCGTGCTTGCGTGGTAAAATTCACCTGGCTCAAGGTTTCGGCTCAACCCCGGTGGGGTGCTCAGGTAGAGAGCGTCTTTAGTGCCGTTGTGGCTGGCCCTGGGGCTTGTAACTGAGGGTAGGTTCCGTTTTGAGGCCCTGGCAAAACTGTGTTTGCTCGTAGGCCGGCTGACCGGCTAAGCTGTCATAGAGCGGCGGCCCGCCAACTGCTGCCGACGACGAAGGACGTTCGAGTGCACAGTTTTCGGCCTCGCTTCGCTAGAGGGTAGCTTTTCGTCCTCGCGTTGCTGAGGGAACCTTGTGGCCTACAGTCTGCTCTGGGTCACAGTGAGAGTTGCAGCCTCGCATTGCTTGAGGGGTGACGCAAGCCTGTTGCTCACCAGAGATTCCTGCTGTCTCTGGGTGAGCAAAACCCACCGACCCTCATTTGGATTGAGGGCTGTGCTGAAGGTGAGTTTGGGTTCCTCGCTCACTTGTGTGGAAAACGAAGGTGAGACCGAAACACGGGGGAAACGGCCAGGCACGCTGCAGACAGTGCAGGCCAACGTCGCACTGCAAGAGGCATCCTTGCAGTGGCGACAGGAGTGTCCCGAACAATTGCGGTGTGCTCGAGCCCAAGCTTGCAGGTTTTCGGGGATCTGCAAGCTGAGCACAACAGGATTTTCTTCGCAGGTAGAATCAGGTAGAAAAGATTTGGCCCAACCCTGGTGGATCTGCCTGGACACAAATAACCAGAGGCATCAGTGTCGTAAAGCTCATTGACTGGTGCTACTGAGAAACCGTTGCCAAAGAACTTGCAGTAGGACTGTGGTGCGGCGCAGTGCAAGTTGAAGAGCAGCTGTGGTGGCTGCTCCCCGGAAAACCAATAGTCCAAGAAGCCTCCTTCGGCCTCGCTCCGTGCTGAGGGTTTGTAAGGGTTGGTATTGGCCGGAAAGGATTCAGATGGAGGTTACCCGATCTTCGCGCTTTTCCCATCTGAAGGCAACCAATGGTAATCAGCCTGCTGGACATGGCAGGCCTGCTTTTGTTTACATCCACGTCTCCTGCAAGGGCTGGGGTCTGTCCGTGCACACAGACAAGGCGGAACCTTGCAGATGTTTAGGTCCTCGCGGCACGGCCGCTGGAGGTTGTTTGAAGATGTTGGCTCTCACTATCTGGTGAGTGGTTTGTATGGGCACTTGCTGGGGCAAGGCGGCTCTGGCGTCTGAGGATGGTACATGTGCTGGCTGCTGAGTACGGGCCACCGAAAGAGACCTGTGGTAAGACAAGCGATGAAAGGAGCCGAACTCCTAAACTCTAGGACAGGCTAGCTCACGCGGACGCCACGCAGAGTATGTGTCACTATCTTCAGATGTTGGAGCCAAATTGCCTAGCCTTGTGACGTGAGATGTGGTGTTTGGATTCGGCCTCAAGCACTGGAAGGCCTACAACAACAAATCCGAATGAAAACTGTGGTCCTAAGACACGCGGTGCAGCTGCTTATACGTGGCACCGCGGGGGTCACATAGAGATAGAGGGCTTGCCAGCAAGGGAACTCTGTCTAGAGAGAGCCCTGGCTCAGTGAGGAGCTGAGGGCCTGGCTGCGCAGATGCAGCGGAATGGTTGTTCGGCCTCGCCTCCGCTGAGGGAACAACAGTCAATGCTTCTCTGCAGTGTCGGTCCGGGTTAGTAAGAGCGAGAACGCCGGGACCTCGAGCTGCAGTTTTACCATGAAGCAACCGCGTGAGATGCATTATTGGTCAACTGGTGAGTAAGAGCGAGAAAGCCAGGGTGACGCTACTTTGGGGGAGGCTGCAAGGCACGGTTAGTAAGTGCGAGAAAGCCGGAGCTGCGGACGAACCTGGAGTAGCAGTCTTTCATACCTCACGTGTTTCACTTTGCGGCCTCGCATGCGCTGAGGAAATATGCCTCGAACAGAACATCCAGTGCTGAGTGGGGATTGCCAAACTTACGGAGGCTGATGCCACAACAAGTGCCTCAACAGCAATGCATGCGGAGGGCAAAGTTCGGCCTCGCGAGTGCTGAGGGTTGCAGCTGAGAGAGGGCCTAGCTGAGAACGCAACACCTCAAGCGAGGTAATTTTTAGTTTAGTTTCACCTTGACCAACGGCCCCTTCGGGTGGCTACGCCTCGCAGCGTGCAGACGTAAAATTCACCTGGCTCAAGGTTTCGGCTCAACCCCGGTGGGGTGCTCAGGTAGAGAGCGTCTTTAGTGCCGTTGTGGCTGGCCCTGGGGCTTGTAACTAAGGGTAGGTTCCGTTTTGAGGCCCTGGCAAAACTGTGTTTGCTCGTAGGCCGGCTGACCGGCTAAGCTGTCATAGAGCGGCGGCCCGCCAACTGCTGCCGTCGACGAAGGGCGTGAGTGCACAGTTTTCGGCCTCGCTTCGCTAGAGGGAAGCTTTTCGTCCTCGCGTTGCTGAGGGAACCTTGTGGCCTACAGTCTGCTCTGGGTCACAGTGAGAGTTGCAGCCTCGCATTGCTTGAGGGGTGACGCAAGCCTGTTGCTCACCAGAGATTCCTGCTGTCTCTGGGTGAGCAAAACCCACCGACCCTCATTTGGATTGAGGGCTGTGCTGAAGGTGAGTTTGGGTTCCTCGCTCACTTGTGTGGAAAACGAAGGTGAGACCGAAACACGGGGGAAAACGGCCAGGCACGCTGCAGACAGTGCAGGCCAACGTCGCACTGCAAGAGGCATCCTTGCAGTGGCGACAGGAGTGTCCCGAACAATTGCGGTGTGCTCGAGCCCAAGCTTGCAGGTTTTCGGGGATCTGCAAGCTGAGCACAACAGGATTTTCTTCGCAGGTAGAATCAGGTAGAAAAGATTTGGCCCAACCCTGGTGGATCTGCCTGGACATAAATAACCAGAGGCATCAGTGTCGTAAAGCTCATTGACTGGTGCTACTGAGAAACCGTTGCCAAGGAACTTGCAGTAGGACTGTGGTGCGGCGCAGTGCAAGTTGAAGAGCAGCTGGTGGTGGCTGCTCCCCGGAAAACCAATAGTCCAAGAAGCCTCCTTCGGCCTCGCTCCGTGCTGAGGGTTTGTAAGGGTTGGTATTGGCCGGAAAGGATTCAGATGGAGGTTACCCGATCTTCGCGCTTTTCCCATCTGAAGGCAACCAATGGTAATCAGCCTGCTGGACATGGCAGGCCTGCTTTTGTTTACATCCACGTCTCCTGCAAGGGCTGGGGTCTGTCCGTGCACACAGACAAGGCGGAACCTTGCAGATGTTTAGGTCCTCGCGGCACGGCCGCTGGAGGTTGTTTGAAGATGTTGGCTCTCACTATCTGGTGAGTGGTTTGTATGGGCACTTGCTGGGGCAAGGCGGCTCTGGCGTCTGAGGATGGTACATGTGCTGGCTGCTGAGTACGGGCCACCGAAAGAGACCTGTGGTAAGACAAGCGATGAAAGGAGCCGAACTCCTAAAGAAAGGACAGGCTAGCTCACGCGGACGCCACGCAGAGTATGTGTTACTATCTTCAGATGTTGGAGCCAAATTGCCAGCCTTGTGACGTGAGATGTGGTGTTTGGATTCGGCCTCAAGCACTGGAAGGCCTACAACAACAAATCCGAATGAAAACTGTGGTCCTAAGACACGCGGTGCAGCTGCTTATACGTGGCACCGCGGGGGTCACAAGAGATAGAGGGCTTGCCAGCAGGGGAACTCTGTCTAAAGAGAGCCCTGGCTCAGTGAGGAGCTGAGGGCCTGGCTGCGCTGATGCAGCGGAATGGTTGTTCGGCCTCGCCTCCGCTGAGGGAACAACAGTCAATGCTTCTCTGCAGTGTCGGTCCGGGTTAGTAAGAGCGAGAACGCCGGGACCTCGTGCTGCAGTTTTACCATGAAGCAACCGCGTGAGATGCATTATTGGTCAACTGGTGAGTAAGAGCGAGAAAGCCAGGGTGACGCGACTTTGGGGGAGGCTGCAAGGCACGGTTAGTAAGTGCGAGAAAGCCGGAGCTGCGGACGAACCTGGAGTAGCAGTTTTTCATACCTCACGTGTTTCACTTTGCGGCCTCGCATGCGCTGAGGAAATATGCCTCGAACAGAACATCCAGTGCTGAGTGGGGATTGCCAAACTTACGGAGGCTGATGCCACAACAAGTGCCTCAACAGCAATGCATGCGGAGGGCAAAGTTCGGCCTCGCGAGTGCTGAGGGTTGCAGCTGAGAGAGGGCCTAGCTGAGAACGCAACACCTCAAGCGAGGTAATTTTTAGTTTAGTTTCACCTTGACCAACGGCCCCTTCGGGTGGCTACGCCTCGCAGCGTGCAGACGTAAAATTCACCTGTTGTTAGGGACCAATGCTTGGCTGACGGACAGCCAGAGGCACCAGATTGTGGAGGTTAAAGGCTGTGGCTCGGTGCCTGAAAGCCTGCCCAACTGAGCTGCCCAAATCAACCAAGCCCTCCCTGCGTGCAAGTGGTATGGGCTCCTTGGAGCCGCTGAGGTTGAACCAGTTAGTAAGAGCGAGAAAGCTGGGTCCCCTCCCTGGTGAGTAAGTGCGAGAAAGCCAGGTCAGCAAACGGGGCTAACAGGAGCTCAGTGCTGCTGCGGCATGAGTTCCTGGGGCCTAGGTTAGTAAGGGCGAGAAAGCCTAGGCCTGTGCCGGAGGT